AATCAAAACATTTCAGAGGTGGGGGCGCCAAAAGTGTCTTTGCCCCCGGGTGCTAAGAATCCTTGCTACGCCATTGGGTTCAACATCACTCGCATCCTATAAATTACTTCCCAGCTGGCGCCAAATGTGTATAATTGTTTGGACTTCTTCTGTTTGAGAGCGGAAAAATTGTTTAGCCCCTGTATAATAATTTCATTCCGCTCTTTCACCAAACATCATAGCCCCGTCCAACGGCAAGGAATTCGGAGAAAATGAATATAATAAACAAGGAAACAGTTACGTCCCCAAACGCCCTCTATATTTTCATTGCCATGTTACGCTAAAATAGTGATGAAACTTACCTAGCAATATTCAGAAATATGAATTTGAGGCTAATGTTATAAAAGCGACATTCTCGTGACTTCAGTAGTCTATCTGCAAAGTGTCCACCGTGGGAAATTTAACCTCGAATTTTTGCGTTGTAAGTTCGTAAACTTATCGTTGACTCATGGGGGACAATTACGGAATAATTAGTACAAAAAAGTACAAAACATTCTGCAAATACAAAGTGACAAATCTCTTTTCTAAAACTTTCATATTTTACTCTCACTCCAGGTATTTGATAACTTAACCCAAAGTTTAATAACAAATAAAAATGGTTCCAAAAAGAAAAGAAATTACGAATTCTAGAAATGACCCTTTTACTTGTTTTACAGAAAACTAACAAAAACGAAATTAAATCGACAAAAATGTCATCCCTAAAATCTTGGCCAGGTCGTTAGGGCGCTCGACTCGCAATCTGCGGGTCGCGGGGGGTTGAATCCCTGTCACATCAAACATGCTCGCCCTTTCAGCCGTGGGGACGTTATAATGTGACGATCAATCATACTATCCGTTGGTAAAAGAGTAGCTCAAGAGTTGGCGGTGGGTTGTGATGACTAACAGCCTTCCCTCTAGTGTTATACTGCTAAATTAGGGACGGCTAGCGCAGATAGCCCTCGTGTATCTTTGCGCGAAATCCATAACAGACTAACTAATTAAAATTGTTTATCGTCTTATCTAAATTTTATACTACTTATATAAAAAACAAAAAACATTTAATTTTTTTTCAAATCAAATTTAATGGTATATGTAGAAAACATCCACAGTTTTCCTTTGTTGTAATGTACACAAGCATAGCTTTGCACCTTACTTCCCTGCATCCCACTAGTGTCTAAAGAAACTCTATGACTCTTAAATAATCTTCGCTTTTTCAAACATTTAATTACGATATTTTGCCTGTTTTCACCTTAAATGATCTAACATGCCTTTTCTTATATTACGCGATACTGACGAGTTAAAAAAGGTTTTGTTTGTATGTTTGTAATTAAGCACAAAGCTACACAATGGGCTATCTGTGCTCTGCCCACCACGGGTATCGAAACTTGGATTCTAGCATTGTTAGTCCGCAGACATTCCGCTGTGCCACTGGGGGGGGGGGGTAAAAAAGGTATATTTGGTTAAATTATTCGCCATATGATTGTAATAATTGTTTCTGGTTTTTTTTTTCAGAAGTTAAACTTATAACAGAAAGTTTACCAACAATTACTATTAGCTTATCGTTAGAGTTTACACAATTAAATAGTAAAATTATTTTGAGAAAAGTCATTAAAACACTAACCTTTCTTACATGTCCCCTTGGTTATGGTATATATCTGATGAATGTCATTTTTTCGATAATGGTAAATCTCGGGAGTTTGAGGCTCGCATTGCAAGCCCAGATCACACTTCCCTAAATAATTATTCTCTCCGCCGCACGTCTGCCCCTCTTGTTTAGCACACACGGGGCAGCAGTTGCAGACACCAAGTGTGAGACCACCCTTACAGCGGAGTTGGGATGTTCGCCGGGGCCAGCAGTGGAGTTGCCAGCACTCCGGACATTTTAGATCTAAGTTACTATCCGTCGAGCTTAGCACAGCAAGAATGGACATATGAAAAATGAAAAGTAGCCGTAATTGGCTGCTGTAATTTGACATAATTAGATATGTAGTGAGATATTTAAAGATGTAACATATCAAGAAGAGCGTGTCTCTACTCTTACATTAGGTAACAACTAACTTCTGCTAGCATACAAAAGGCTACTTGACATCTTGTGGTAAATCACGTGATCGTTCGAGAACAAGGTGTAGCAAAAAGTAAGGATGCAGATCAGATCGGCTGGACGCAAAACCCGTCCTTATAACGACCACTGAAAACCCCAACACTCGACCAGGTACCTCCAGTCGTGGTGGGAGGTGCAGAAGAACCCCAGGAACAGAGACAGCTCACATAACTAAAGCTAGAAGAGTAAATGACGCACGTGGTAGTGTCACGTGTGTTTATTTTAAGAAGCAGGACGTGATTTAATACTCTTCTGAAACCAGACTTTAATCATACTTGTCAGTTCGCACTTTGCTGCAAAATATAACGCCAATATTATTACAGAATACACGAAATAGTTAATCAACACTCTATATTGTAATATAAAATGAGTTAAATCAAACCTGCACTATACAGATACACTGACATGGTCAGATATAACAACAATATTATTACAGAATACACGAAATAGTTAATCAACACTCTATATTGTAATATAAAATGAGTTAAATCAAACCTGCATTATACAGATACACTGACATGGTCAAATATAACGCCAATATTATTACAGAATACACGAAACAGTTAATCAACACTCTATATTGTAATATAAAATGAGTTAAATCAAACCTGCATTATACAGATACACTGACATGGTCAGATATAACAACAATATTATTACAGAATACACGAAATAGTTAATCAACACTCTATATTGTAATATAAGACGTGTTAGATCAAAGGTACATTATACAGATACAATGTTGTTGGTCGTGGTGAACATAGTAAGTGTTATTAAACAAGCACTTGTCAAACATATACCAACAGTATTAACCCATTAATTAACAAGTTAAGAATGAGTTGGTTCAGAACCAGTTATATTACAGATTACTACTTCCAATAAGATCCAAAATTAATAGCCAACATTTCGATACGATAAAAGTTTTCTTTATAAAAAAAATAATGATAGAAAACAAGTACATCAAAATTTATGTAGTTCTCATGCATACACAGACATATGAAGTACAACAGTATTTTTCACAGTATAAAGTGTAAATTATAAACAAGTTATACATATCATTATAGAGAAATAAGTTGTGAATATGATATTTCAGTAATAAGATATTATCAACTGACCACGAACTTCATATTTTACAACATTTCAAAAAGTTGATTAACGAAACAGATGTTTTAGTTACGAAAATAATTTATTAGAAAAGATGACTGTTTGAAATAAAGCTAGCAAATAAGATAATTAAAAACAATTAATCACGTTGTCATATCTCAAAGCACAAAAAACCATAAAACTTATATTCATTATTACTAACATACATCTCTCACTAAAACATATATATATAGCTACTACTGTTCCTAACACACATCAAACAGTCACCGATGCTTTGTCAAATGTACAACTACGGTGAGCTATCATTCGTTCTAGATATGTGACAATTCTATGAAACGTTTCATTTTAAGCCACGGCGTAGTGGCTCATAGAATGACTCTGAGTTTTTAGCCGCGACATAGCTTTGAGTTCGTTTGTTTTTTGTTATTGTTGTTGTTTCTTTGTTTGTTGTTGTTGTTTTTTCAAGTACAAACTTTTAGTTCATAACTCCGTCATCTCTTGACTGATTTGAGATCTGATTATAGTTCTAGACTCAGGAGGTCAAACCCTTTCCATTGATATATTTGATCACACCCAAGGTCTCATAGATTAATTTACTCTAATCCTGCCTAAAATAATTTCAGTTTGCGAGTAGGCTAGTAGAGATCCTGATAAGTAATATAATCAAATCGGATGTACGCGAGCCTCACGCTTGGTATTGCTAGCGCACAAAAATATAGCTAATAAAAGGTAAAAAATATCTGATACATTAATTTACTCTAATCCTGCCTAAAAGAATTTCAAGTGCCGCAGCTATTGAGGATTCCCTCTTTTATCTTTTTTCTTTTCAAGTACAAACTTTTAGCTTATAGCTCCTTCACCTCTTGACCGATTTGAGACTTAATTACAGTTTTATACTCAGGAGGTCAAACCCTTTCGATTGATATATTTGTCCATGCCTAACACAACTCTCATGAAATAATTTACTCTAATCCTGCCTAAAAGAATTTCAAGTGCCGCGGCTATTGAGGATTTCACCGTGTTTATATGCAAAGAGTTACCAGACAACTAAAAAAAACTGATACATCAAATTTTAACATAACCAGCCATAAAAAACTAACCCACACGTTACTGGAAACTTATAATATTAAACCATTGCCTGTTACTGATGATTCCACCAAATTTAAAATATGTATCACACGTTACCAATTATACAAGATATGTTCAAACGATAGAGTAATTACCGAATAAAATGCCATCAAATACCAGGTTTATATTACCACTGATGCGCATATTTCATTTTACATTGGTCAAGTGCCACACTTGTCAGACAAAATGCCACAAATACAAATTGTGCTGATCAGTTATCAGCCAGAACATATACTTTCTTTCAGTCTCGATTAAAATACATCTCCAAACTTTCAAATGACAAACTTCTATCATTAATTACGAGCCACGACACGTAAGTAGTTATCTCAGCTATTGCGCAATACGCCGCTAGATGGAGTCACACATGTGTCGGAGTCAGGGAGGGGGATGATTCCATCAAAGATGATGACGTCATAGTTCCATAAGTTGTCGTCAGAGGTCGCGTTGTTAGGACGCGTTACTAGCCTGAAATGACAAGCGGCCATTATGTCATAGTTTCACGAAGTATTACCAAAGAGTGCAACTATCTTTTAGAGGGTTGAAATTATAGTTCGATACCAATCAGACGGCTATAACGTCATAGTTCCAGGAAGTTGGACCAGTATCAATTTGATAAACATGTCTCAACATGATTATAATTAATACAATCGGTTTAAATCACTATTTCATTGGTTGATTAAATTTTCTGACCATTTAAGTCGTCCTAAAAAGGACAATATAATAAAATATTATGAATTAATTAAAACTTACACTTTCACTAGTTTGACTTTATGATATCAATATAAATTGACAAAATAATTCATTTGCACATGTTTTATAAAGGTGGATGGTGTTTTACATAGTGTTACTGAAGCAAATTGTTTTTCAATGTGTCTCAACATGCATCATCAATAAAACGTTTATTATAGATTATGCAATAATTAAACTTACACTTTCACTAATTTGACTTTATAACTTGACAAGATATTTCATTTTACACATGATACTTTATAGTTTTATCTTACACGAGTTTTACAAGGGTAGATTTTCACATATGATCAATATCTATATTTAATTACCATTATTTTAACGACTGTCCATAGGATTTTAACAAATATGCTGTGTCGGTGTTAATATGATTCCACATTTGATCAATGTCTAGATTTAATTATGTTAAAACTATTATTTTGCATATTTTAAAATCTGTACTAATATAATTTACTACAACTAAAAATAATAACTGAATGACTTACTGTTTATCCATCCATTTTCTATACTGACAAACACACCTCCAAACTTCTTTGGATACACAAATCTTGTGAAAGTATAGAATAAATAGCTGTTCATAGCTTCTTTCAGACAATGTTCTGTAGGACACTTACTGTTTTGCTTTCACAAATCATACATATTATTTGAATGAGACAGTTATTATAACCAATAATCGTCCTACAACTAAATATAATAAATGAACAACTTATTGTTTAACTTTACTATGATTTAAAATACCAATCTGCATACAATCTGGACACAGACTTTTAAGAATTACAAAAGTCACCATGTTGTCACACACATGCAGTACACAAAGCCATTGACATCATTATCGTCTACACTTCAAACAACGTAAGAAGAAAGGATGGCCACAGTCCGATGTGTTTGATATTCAAGGCTACTGACCAATTTAGTTACATACAGGACCAACTTCAAGTTTAGAAAAATCTTGAATGTTAGGAACATGAAATATCGTCACACAGTCACTGACACATAACAGCTGAAGGAAACGTTGACCTTGTGTTTGTCTAATATTTCATTTTATCTCAGTTTTCCAAATGCATATAAGTACCTTAAATTATAAACCAAGTGAATATTTTAAAGTTTTTGGTAACATGAATTATACAAATCAGTGTTTGTCACATACTATCATGCATACTTGACAAAAAATCAGTTACTATAATCATATATATATATATATATTGAATAATGAAAATAAACTCTACAAAAGATTAATGTTCACATTACAAACCACTAAATATATTCAATTAGACTGTAATTAACAATTATAATACAATATCTTTATCTATCTATACACAATATATTTAATAATGAGCTCTACATACAGTCAATTCACGCCATACTTTAATTAGTGTGATTGATATTTAAAAGTCGTTCCTTACATAGAGTTTAAATGATCATTTTATTACTCAGTTAGCTTACAATTATCACATACTGTGCCCGAAATACTGTCAGAGTGTTTCAGTCAGCTCAGAATAAATTTTTCAAAATGAAAGTTCTATTCAATTATACTTTAACGTGTGAGATTTCATTATACACTAATTATTAAATCAAATATAATGTTTTGAAACATTAATTCGTTAGTTAATTAAATTTCCTGATAATTTATATGTCCTAAGTATCATGCATTAGTTAAAATTGACTCTTTCATTAGTTTGACTTTATAACATGACAAATTATTGCATTTTACATGTGATAGTTTATAGTTTTATCCTACACCAGTTTTACAATGGTGGACTTCCACGCATGATCAATGTCCAGATAAAATTATCATTATTTAACAATTGTCTGTAGAATTTTAACAAACGTGCTGTTATCCACTATTTGAATGTGATCACAACTTACATTTTCCTACATAATATATGTTATCAATACTATAGAATAGTAACACTTACCATTTCTTTCATAAATCTTTGAGGATTCAACTTTCTTCTACAGTACATAAATGTTCAGAAACGCTAATACTATTTATATGTTTAACTGAAACCGCATTGATTATGATTCACGTCACAGTTGGGAGTATAAGACTAGTTCTGCAAACCTAGTCTGTTGGCTGAGAATAACTTTTCACGTGTAAAGTGTATGAAATTTAATTTACACTAATATCTAATTATTATCTTAAATATCTCATGTTACGAAAATATTTTGAAACATTGTTGCTATATATATATTAGACGAATATTTCAAATACTGTATGTTGAGGTCATTGACAACCACATGAAAATGGTCAGTTTTGATTTATCTAGCAGCAGTGATAAGTTTATTTTACAACACTTTTTAAATCAAAGACAGGACAAATGTTTTGTTTCCATAAACATTTCCACGAGGATTTATTACACAGAGAATCAGTATCATAACAATTACACACAGAACATACAAATTGTCTAAAATATATTGGGGAACACCAATCACCATGTTGAAATCCCCCCTTTAAAAAAAAATCCCATGTTTTACGTTACAAACTTCGCAATTGTTTTTGTTAACACTAAAAATACACGAGTCATTATTTTAACGACTGTCCGTAGGATTTTAACAAGTAAACTAAACAACTATTATAGCATTAAAACTAACTCTTTCACCTTTATGCCATTCGTCTAGTAATTCATTTTGCTACAACTAAAAATAATAAATGAATGAATAAACTTAATGTTCATTCATACATCTTCTATTAAAAGTTCACAAAACATTGAAACTAACTCATAAACCCAAAGGATCTCGAACTGACGTCAATAGTGTTAAACTTTGAAGTAAAGATGATCACGTGGTCACACCAATACAGACAGTGTTTCCTTGAGCTGAGAATGATGATATTATTGTCTCAACACATCATCAATTGTTAGAAAGAAGAGGCTGAAAGCAGTACATTAGGTCTTAGGGGTCATTACATGCTACTCTTTAACCAAATACTTTAGGGGTCATTACATGTGACTCTTTAACCAAATACTTTAGGCGTCATTACATGTTACTCTTTAACCAAATACTTTAGGGGTCATTACATGTTACTCTTTAACCAAATATTTTAGGGGTCATTACATGTTACTCTTTAACCAAATATTTTAGGGGTCATTACATGTTACTCTTTAATCAAATATTTTAGGGGTCATTACATGTTACTCTTTAACCAAATATTTTAGGGGTCATTACATGTTACTCTTTAACCAAATATTTTAGGGGTCATTACATGTTACTCTTTAACCAAATATTTTAGGGGTCATTACATGTTACTCTTTAACCAAATACATTAGGTATCATTACATGTTACTCTTTAACCAAATACTTTAGGGGTCATTACATGTTACTCTTTAACCAAATATTTTAGAAGTCATTACATGTTACTCTTTAACCAAATATTTTAGGGGTCATTACATGTTACTCTTTAACCAAATACTTTAGGGGTCATTACATGTTACTCTTTAACCAAATACTTTAGGGGTCATTACATGTTACTCTTTAACCAAATACTTTACTGATATAGAAAATACTTAAAATAGCAACACTTACCATTTTCTATAGATTATTCACTTTAAGTTTAAATCATACCATACAAAAAAACTCATAAAACTTTGCAATCGTCTTTCTGAATGATGTCATTAACATTGAATAGACGGGGTGATAAAATTCAAAGTTCTGTTTGATCAGTAACGTTGTTGATGTTTAGTCAAACTTTGACACAGCACTATTCTTAGGTGGTCGTCACGTGGTCACTGACGCATAACAGTTGAAGCTAAAGTTGACCTCGTGTTTGTCTAATACCTGCTGTATATACTTGTTTTATCACGTTATTAGTCACATAGAATAAATCACCACAATACCGAAAATGAGTTGACAATCATACTCGTAAAAGAACCCTCCCTCTAGCGGCGTGTTGCGCAAGAGCTGTGATAACTACTCATGTATATTACCTTAATCACTTGTTGAATATAACACTACAGTTCGCAAGATAACATCTGAAACCGGAGAATCATCTTCACGTTTCCCATGTTTTTCACACACACAGCCTTTTTATGTGATTTAAACATTCAATATGAGACACTGTTTGTAACTATTCTAACAAAGAAAATATATATACATACCTTACTAGATATGCAAAGGCATATATCCATTAATACGATAAATCCCAGATATGATAACATAATAACGCTACAAAATGCGTAATAAAGCTCAGATACTTGTAGATAGATAGATATATTCAACATAAATGTAAATGTATCATACACTTTTAATATGCACTATGTGCATTTACAATGTATGCAAAATACATTTTTGACACATATCAATTATAAATGAGTCTTATAACTCATATACCAGTAAACACTACTATATACCAGAAACGTAAATATTCATGACATAATGTTAGGTTATTCCTAAACTTAAAACAACTATTACTAAGTGAACACTATAACGTAGAATAACCAGCTTTTTTTACTGTGAATAAAAGATTCAATATGAGGTCATTTCCATAAATATTCTAACAAATATATACATAATTAACAGAAATGTGGAGACATTTAACGAACACATATCAGCTACATACCTACACTTATCAAACTTATATCATTTACTTCTAGACATCACAATTACCTGTCATATATCAACACGTAGCAGACACGT